AACTCCCAGTAGAGACGTGCCATAGATACAGAACATGTTGCGAAACAGAATAGCCAGCATTTGTAGTTCTGGGGAGAGGGTGGGGGAGGGGGGACGCGGTGGACCCGTTCAAATCCAGTTTTGGACAGTCTGCCATGCATGGTTCCATCCCATTTCAAGTGCTGTTCGAGGCTTGGCGTAACCCTCGGAGCACACTCTCCAATCACAGAGCTTGAGGACTATCACGGGGTTTGTCAAACAGAGCACATGGTGTAGTCCAAACGATAGCTGGGGATTCTGGGTAGTGTAGTGTTCTGCCATCCTTTACTCCGAAAACATATTTGTTTCTCCGAATCGAAGGGGAAAAATACAAAAGCATTGCACACAATTTAAACCAATCAATGTTGTGTAATTAACAAGGATAATCTGGTGTTTTTTAGTCGATGAGTAGTGCAGATATCACTGTAAAATCAATCGACAGTAAGGGGAATACTTACTTCCGGGTGTACAATTCTCCGTTATCCAATGAGAATGGACGCTCACATTGCCTTTAAGGGCAGCCGACACAAACGAATGCCGTGCTTCCATGAGCGTCCATAGAAGCATATGGACATCCCGGAAAGCTGAAAATGGACGCTAAGGCCCCCCCCCCTTGCGTTGAAAATGGACGCTAAGGCCCCCCCCCCCTTGCGTTGGAAAAAGCCGACAGGGGACTTGACATAACGTCAACATAGGCCGACCTGGGAGTGAGGATGTGTTGGCTGATACACCAAAGTAGTGATGGTTCTTATTCAGGGTATAGTATCTGCACATTTTTTAAGTACAAATGTACTGACTTTTAAGACCTTTTTAAGACCTCTAAAAGGAAAGAATAATACCAATTTTAAAAAATCAACAGTGGAAGTGGGCCCTGAAGACTTTGCCAGAGCGGATATATTGTTGTAACAGCCAAACTAGAAGTAGCGCTAGCGACCGACTCTATGGGCATTGTACTCCTTTGAGTACCAACATAGTGCTTGTATTTTTCTGATCTCATGTGCGAATCTATTGCTTTGCACCCCATTGTGCCAAGTTTGAAGATTTGCCGACAAAGTTCGCATCGCGCCTCATAGTAGCTGGACGGTTTCAGCACAATACTTGTCGGTAAACCTGTTCTCAGCACTGTGTTCCTTTTTGTCCGCGGCAGCCTTCAAATCTGAAGCTGGATAAACACGTTTTTCTTCTACCTTCAAATGTGAATCACAGCCACACAAGGCGTTCTACCGTCACCTACTAAGCAGAGGATGTGCTAGCCTACCTATTTCACATACAAAAGAAATAGGTATGGGACGTTGCAGAATATAAAATAACGTTACTGGTCAAATAAAACGTACAAATTTAACACAAAATAGACACACTCATTCATGCTGCCCCAGATCAAATGTAATACCTCCCCTCCTAAAATTCCAGACCTTTTTAGACCTTGAATATCAAAAAATAAATGTAATACTTTTAAGCATTTTAAGGATCCACAGGGACCCTGTTATAGATGTATAGTTGAATCCAGGCAGTGGTCTCCGCATCGCCTTTTTGCTGACATGCGATTATTGGTAAACATCCACGCAGAAGTTACGAGAGGAAGTTGCGGTGAAACTTGGTAATGTGGTCTATTTGCGTTCATTATTTTTTACGCTGACAGCTATAGCCAATTATGCATTATCAGTCAAATCTACCCCCACCTTATTCTTTCATTGTTTCCACATGTTGTTTTATGCATTTTTTGCTCAAGGAACATATTAGAACACAATATATGCAATAGTATGACAAGTGGGTACGTTGAAAAATGAAAACCCCATTTGATTTTAAAATACTTTATTTCATAAACAATATCTAAATTCAACTCGGTCGGTCACATACACAATAAGGATAGAAAATGCTTGAATTAGAATAAGAGAAAACAACAAGAACTGGGCATTCCTTTCTGCTCTTTGAAGGGCAGTTTACAAAGTGAGCTCATTGGGTGAAGATGATGGTGAAGATCTACAGAGTGGCCTGGTAGTTAGAAAACTGTGCTACACATGGGCGATTCAGGTTCAAGCTCCTGCCCTGCCGAGGTGTCTCTGAGCAAGACTCTGAATGTGTTCCAGCTGCGGGGATGATGATCTGTAGGTGAGTTTGTCCTCTGAGGTACTTTCATCATACAGTTATTCCTCAATATACTCAGACAGATCTCATGTATCCCCTGCTACAGTTGCTTTTATTCAAATCACAGAGAAAGACGGATCAATGCTCGTACCTTTTGGCAACTTCATCTTTACTACACATGCTGTCTTAGGGCCTGTGTCCACAGAGTGTATTTTTCTGAGCGCCTGCATCTTTTCCAAATGTTTCTATTAAGGTAGTGAGAGTTTGCCATTGCATGCAACGCCTCGTGAAAAAGCGTTTTTTCCTGATTGTCCGCCGTGTGTGCGGCCGCTACGAACGCTTCGAGTTGTAAGTGTTTCAACTGTTCAATGTCGAACTGGAAAATACTTAGCAGGTTTCCACTTTCGGTTCCCTCGTCTAGAAATCAATGTTTTTTTTTAAGTGTTTGTGGTTAGAAGTCTAATATAAGGTCTGTCGTAACACAAGCTGAAGAGATTTGTACGTTATGTTCTAAGACATGAAATATTTAAGTAAATACTCCACTCTTGAATATCCGAAGCTTCTATATGTCATAAAAAAAGCAGTTGCTAACAAGGGACTAAATAAGACTACTAAATGTCATCACGCTAAACATGATGAGCAGCCTTTAGCTTAGCGGTGGTGATGCCATGCAACAAGGAAGTAGTTTGTTTAGCCTATAGCTTTTGAGTTCTGTCGACTGTATTGTAGCGACCCTGTATAGGATGCTGAGGGTGTCACTCAGGCATCCCCCGTCTCTCTGCCAATCATAGAGCTGCACAGTGATGCTGGTTGAGGTGCGGGCCTGTGGTTGGGGGAGCAGACGGGGGAGGGCGGGAAGTTGTGACGTAGACACTGTTATATATATGGGTATGTGTAGAAGTTAGTGTTAGTGTGAGTGGAGTGTGAGGTTGAACCCACAAGCTGTTCCTGAACCTGTGATCATCTGTAAAGAAGAAGAGTTATTAAAGCCTAATAACTAGCAGCCTGTTTCCGACTCCCTTTGTGATCGTTACATTGGTGTCAGAAGTGACTTTTCGAACGGAGGACGTCTATCCTGACGGGAGTTCGTAACTGCGTCACGGAGCTAGCCGGTAAGCTAGCGGAGATGGAAAAGTTCAGCAAGATGGGAGTGAAGCAGGAAAGTAGTGATGGAGAGGAAGATGGAGCATGCGGGTGGTCGAAGGACATGAGTGGGGAGTTCAGGAGTGCACGGGAGGCGAGAGAGCGCCTGAGAGAGTCGGCGGTGAAGATGGCTAGAGACGCGGGAATGTCGCAGTCTTCAGCGCCATTTCGCGCCATTTCCAAGCTGGATGTAAACAACAATGGCGGCGCCCATCAACCAGTAGCAGCCGCCGCGTCCGTGAAAACACCCAAATACTCGGGTAAGGCAGACTGGGAGGCTTTCCATGCCCAATTTGAACTACTTGCACATGCCGGGGGTTGGTCGATAGAGACTAAAGCACTACAGCTAGCTTTGTGCCTCAAAGACGAGGCTCTTTCATGTCTGCTACTACTTAGCCTTGAGGACCGACACAGCTATGAAGCGTTAGCGGGGGCTTTGAAGAGGCGGTTTGGACAGTGTTTCCCGCCAGAGCTGCTCCGGAACAAATTGAGTAACCGCTGTAGGAAGTCTGGAGAGACGCTGCGTGCGTTGGCTAACGACGTGGAGAGCCTGACGCGGCGGGCATATGCACACATGCCACCCGGAGTGCAGAGTGAGCTGGCACGTGATCAATTAATCAGGGCTCTCCTCCCTGCGGACTTGAGGGTTGGGGTACAGCTGCAGCATCCACAGTCCTTGCAGGCGGCCTTGGAGATGGCTGTGGAGAGAGAGATTGTGTGGAGTGTAGCGGCGAGGAGCAATGGAAGGCCGGTACCACCGGCTGTGAGGAGCTGCAGAGTGGAGGAGAAGCCTGGATGGGTTACCGAAATGACTGAAAGTGTTAAAGTTTTATTAGAGGAGAAAATGAGGGAGATGGAAGCAGCTGTCAATGCAGAGAGGGAACTGCGGCAGCAACAGGAGGCTAGACTCAAAGCGGAGCTGGCCTCTCTTGAGCGAGATCTCCAGGAGAGTAAAGAGAAGGAGAGCCTTGTGGCCTCTCTGGAGAAGTGCCTCCAAGAGGGCAAAGAGAGAGAAAGGAGCCTGGTGGAGGAGGGTGCCAAGAGGGATGCGCAGTTCAAAGAGCTGCTCAGGAGCCTGGAAGCCGAGAAGGACAACCTGGAGGAGCATCTGACGAACCAGCTGTCCCAGCTCAATGGCAGCATCGCAGACTACCAGCAGGAGGCGGCGGACAACTGGGAGCACTTGGCCGAGCTGCAGCGGGAGGTGGAGCGGTTGGCGAGGGAGCGGGCCGAGTTGGAGGCTGAGGCGCAGAGCGAGAGCGACCGGGCCGCCAGGCTGGAGGAGGACATGAGGCAAGCACAGAGAGAGAGAGCAGAAGCAGAGTCTGGTAAGCAGGAGGAGCTGCTGAGGGAGAAGCAGCTGCAGAGGGACTGCATCAAGTACCAGGAGAGGATCAGCGAGATGGGTAGAGACGCTAAGGCGCTGCAGCAAGGTTACAACGAGCTCCAGAATAAGCTAGGACAATCCCAGCTGGAGACTTTGAAAACTCTAGAAGACCTGAAAAGGACAGAAGCAGAGTTGGATACCTGTAAACCTCAGCTGGATGAGTCCCAGAAGCAGGCAAGCGTAGCTATAGCGGAGAGGAGTATCATGGAGCAGAACGCCCAACACAGAGAGGCCTCGATGAAGGCAGAGGTGGAGCAGACCCTGGACTCTGTGAGGTTCAGACTCGGAGGCGAACTGAAGGAGATGGAGCTGAGACTGGACGAGGTGGACAGAAGCGGAACTATGACACCAGGACAAGAGGGCAGCATTTCCGGGCCGGGGATCTGGTCTGGGTCTACAGCCCACAACGGAAGAAAGGCCGGTGCCCAAAACTGGACAGTCAGTGGGTTGGTCCCTGCAGAGTACTGGAGAGTGTGGGGGTAGTGTTTGTGCTGAGTTTTATTTGTTCCTCGTGGGCGAGGAACTTTGTAGTGGGGGGGTAGTGTAGCGACCCTGTATAGGATGCTGAGGGTGTCACTCAGGCATCCCCCGTCTCTCTGCCAATCATAGAGCTGCACAGTGATGCTGGTTGAGGTGCGGGCCTGTGGTTGGGGGAGCAGACGGGGGAGGGCGGGAAGTTGTGACGTAGACACTGTTATATATATGGGTATGTGTTGAAGTTAGTGTTAGTGGAGTGTGAGGTTGAACCCACAAGCTGTTCCTGAACCTGTGATCATCTGTAAAGAAGAAGAGTTATTAAAGCCTAATAACTAGCAGCCTGTTTCCGACTCCCTTTGTGATCGTTACAGTATTTATGCTTCAAAAATCTCAAAGTGGTGTTATAATGTGGAAATTATCCTGGTGAACAAAAAAATATTATAAACGTGTGTTGGCCACAATATTTACTACTTGCATTATACCCAAATAAAATGGGGATATCCAATTGGTTTTTCTCAAGGGAGCACATGCAATGCTAACTTCCAGGTGCTAACAGAAAAACATCCTCACTGCACCACTTTATGGAGAAAACAATATGAAACACATATTTATAAGCACTTACAGATAATAAAATACAACTGGGCGATGCTAGTCGTGCTACGTTGTCAAGATATCGTTGCCACAGAAGAACGCTAAGAACCTTTTTTATTTTTAAAACGCAGGGAGGAGGCTCTGCCAGAAAAAAGGTGTGTGGACACAGGCCCTTATCATGGTGTGGTTATATTAGAATATCATATTTCATTTAAGGTAGATAAAGGAGGAAAACCATCAGTATCTCACAAATAGATAATAAATGTATTTCAATACTGAAAGATAAACATGTTGGTCCATGGTGTAAATCGAGCTAAAAAAGATTCACATTTTCTCCCCATATTCAAACAGGGCTGGATAATTATTTACATATTGGAAGACCTTCACCTGTGTGGCTAGACTAACATAATGTATCTCTATTATATATTTATGTATATATATATAGCCAAATATTGCAAATATTGTGCAAGACTATTTTTGCAAAGAATATGTGCTCCTCTACTATCAAAAAATTGGACAGGTGTTAGCTTTTAAGTTTTAGAAATGTTTTCCCACAATAGAACAACACTAGGATGACACTAAGAAGGCATTTGCTGTATAGGATACCTTTTGCTTCTATTAGAAATGCCTTTAGTTAAATAATACACCAAAATGCACACATCACAAAAGCCATTCACGTAATGTTAGAAATAAAAACCCACAGGCCATGGACAGTGTGTGCCATTCAGTGGAAAATATCGTCTGCTCGGGTGTTTCCAACCAAAGCGTTCTGCTTTATGTACAGTGTTATCTGTCCATGCAGTCGTCCATGTGTCCCTAGTTTCTGACTCACCAGTGAAGCTACGGTTGGCGAGGCGTCGAGAGGGGATGACTGGGGGGGGGTGAGCCGTGCTGGGCCGGACAGTGCTTCACCATGCTGTGCCTGAGACAAACTGTGCAAACGCTACTGTGCTCTTTATCCTCTGGGGTTACCAGCGCTGCAACTTTACAGTATGTACGGTACCACTTCAGAGGAGGCTGTGGATGTGTGTTTGGTTCAAATGTTGGCCAGGCAGTGATTTACTTGGGTCTAGCTACGACCGGTCTAACTGTAAACAAGACTTCAGTTTTTATTTACAGACAAGCATGAAACCTTCCTTCTTAAGGGGACAAAGCAGAGAAAAAGCTTCGCCCCCATTGAGTTCATTGTTTGGCTTTGCAGCAAAAAACATTTTTCTATCTTCTATTTTCTGTCTTTCGATTGTAGACCGAAACAGTGGTGGTCTGTATTTCCAGAGGCGTTTTCCCATCTCTCCAGTTGCTGATAAATCAGTTGTTATGTTGAGGTAACCAAGGAGTAGATCATACTGAAACACAAGAAGAAGAACAAACAGGAAATGCCAAGTCAATAAAACGCCCAAGCAGACAGAAGGGGACAAAGTGGTAATTAACAATTAAAATCATATCACAACCTAAATTAAGATTAAAACACCTTGACTACGTGTGGTGTGTTGAGAGAGAAGAGTGTGAGTGTGAAGTGTTGAGTGTGAGTGTGTAGTGACGGAGAGAGGAGAGAGAGAGATGACGGAGAGAAGAGAGAGAGAGAGAGGAGAAGAGAGAGAGAGAAGAGAGAGAGAGAGGGAGAGAGGAGAGAGAGAGGAAGCGAGGAGAGAGACGGAGAGAGAGAGAGAGGACGAGAGAGGAGGAGAGAGAGAGAGAGAGAGAGTGTGTGTAAACTTTTATATTTGATTTTCCTTTAAAGCTTTTCTGTCATGATCTGCATTTTCAGAGTAATGCGTCATCTAGATCAGGGGGCTTGCTGTGTTTGTTTGGGTTAAGTTTTAAGGAGTACTAATGAAACAATAACATCCGATGGAAGAAGTAATCAGATTTTAAACTTACGTAAATGTAGCAGTACTAAATTGGAAAAATACAAAGTAAAAGCCCTGCATTCAACATCTTACTTAAGTAAAAGTACAAAAGGACTAGTACTACTCAACCCCCCATTTCAGAATCTTATATTAAATGACTGAATGACTATTAATGCATTAACGTGTCGATCACAGCTGATAAAGGTATTTTAATGACATGATATACTGCTGCTCCATACCTCAGCCTATAATTGAATGCCAATGTTTATTTAAAAAGGACATTTTATGTTCCTATATAAAAAACGAACAAGGAAGACCCTGAAAGACTGTCACTGTGGAAAATGTGACACTGAATGCAAAGAAAAAGCTGATGAACCTTATGTAATGCAATGAGCATGTGCAAAGCAAGCTGTGAAGCACACATTGCTGCAAAGGGACAAATATATAATTGTTTTACCAGCCATTGACAGAGATGAGCTTAGTTCCTAATGAGGTCAATATAATACTGTTGTTTTTGTATTACTAATAACACAGACTGTGAAGTTAACCTGAAAAAGAGATTGATTGCAGGATTGCATGAAACAATTACCAACAGCCTAAAGCACAGATTGGGGATCCAACACTTGTGTCATTGAGCTGAGACTTGACAAGAACAGATCAGCGCTTCACTGACAGTAACTGATGATTCCAAACATTTGTATTCATCCCTGAGGACTTTCCGCGCTCTTAACACCTCTGATAATCTCTGCTGCTGAGGAGCCTGAAAATGTATTCTGTTGACTCACAAGTATTCATGGGTAGAGAGGACGAGGGGAGAGGGTATATGAGAGGGGAGGGAGAGAGAGATCAAGAGTGAACGGCTCCTCAGAGACCTGACCTCCTCCGAGAACTGGCTTCATCATTAGTAGATGGACTTGTAGCTCTTTAAATTACAGCTCTTTTACTTCCGCAGCCTAATTAGACATTAACTAAACATAATGTATGCTAAGATATTAACTTGTATATGAGATCCTGCATAAAAGAGGAAAACTGACACTTAAGGGGAAAAATAAAGCTGTTTAATTTGCTAAATATTCCTGAGTATTTGTTTTCGCTTTTGCACATACCGTACATTTTTATATTAGTAATAGCTATAACGTTCTTCAGAAAAATATGTCACATTTGCATTTTCTTCCGTACACCAAAGGCTAAAAGAAGAAAAATAAAATCCATTTTGCATATATCTTCCATTCCATACAATTGTTGTTGAACAGTAAGCTAATTTGAAAGTTTGATAATACCATTTGACTTAATTTCAGATATTCTGATAACAATTTACTCAAAACAATACTACTGGTTAAAGCATGTTTCTGTATTGCTTAATGCTGCTCTGGATGGCTAATGTCTAAGACATTTGATTATATACATTATTTTCCCTTTTCTATGGCATCACATTACTTCGCATGGCTACATACTGTATACTCAGTAGTTGATATCATTATTGTATTCCATCAGTGTAATAATAATAATAATAAATTATATTTCTATAGCGCTTTTCTTGAACCCAAAGACGCTTTAGATTTGGGAGGGAGGGTAGACAATGAAAACAAAAACAAAACAAACAAACAAACAAACAAAACAGAAAAGCAGTCAGGAGGAAGTTGGTTGAGAGGGGGGGGGGGGGGGGGGGTTATGGATATACAGAGTTGAAGAGGTGAGTTTTGAGGCGGGACTGGAACAGGGTGAGGGACTCAGACTCACGGAGGTCTTGGGGGAGTGAGTTCCAGAGCTTCGGGGCTGCCACAGAGAAGGCTCTGTCCCCGAAGCTCGGGAGTTTGGCCTTGGGGATGGAAAGCAAAAAGTGTATATATGCTTTCTGTACTTACATCATTTGTGCACTATCTTTAGAATGCTGCAATGAGCTAAATCCTCTTGATAGAATGCTAACATGCTAACACTGATACTGATAGCCAACCCAGTCTCACGGCGTTTCGTGTTATATTCACGACATTTATTATATTGATTCGTGTTCACCAACACGATTTTCCCCTTTTTTTCATGTCACACAGAACGATTTTAAAAGCAATGTATTTATATTGGTAGTATGTTTCGTAAAAACATGTTCTTACTCAATATCAAGCCACGATTATTGTTTTTTATTTTAAATCGTATAATGTCGGACTTTTTTTGCCGGCCTTGAGGAAAATAAATGGGGCTCAGAGCCTCAGAATACTGAAATCTGTACATTTTTAAATCTTTTTTTCCTTCTAATTTGTTATTCTTTTCTAAATAACACACTGTTATTTACTCAACAATAACACACAATTATCCTTGTTTTTATTTGTTTGTTTAATTCTATAATCTCTGGCTTTTTTGGCGTCCGTCAGGAACCATGTCATGCTTTTCCGGTTATTACCCGTCCCCTTGTGTGTTATGAAGGTTTTTATGCATGTAAACGGTCTGCAGAGTCAAAAACCCTCAAAGTACACCCTGTAGCGAGTAGAACTCTAATACAGAAAAGACCTGTCTGTGCTGCCCCAGAACGCCTCGTTGGAGATTTCTCATTTTCCATTGTTTACTTCCTGGGTACTGCAGTGGCGAACCGTCAGGGCCTTCAAGGTATTCAGAGAATACCCTGGAACACTCCGATAAAACAAACAAAAATTCGATTTAATTATATAAATAAAATGTAATACAATGTAGGCTATATAAAATGAATAAATTAGAATCGTATCTGTGTTGTTGATCTGTAATATTACAGTGTTACGTTGATTTGTTTGTCCTTCTCGGACCATGCACTACGCATTTGAGTGGTTTTGTGTTAGAAAAGAAAGCAACCAATCAGATCTTGTTCTGGGTCTCTGGGTAGAATATCCTTCAACCAAGGTATTCTACATCCTTGATAGAATGCCCTGGCCGTTGCACTGAATGAGAGCGTATGTGTGGACTGACAGTTTGATCAACCAATCATATATTGATTTGTAGCAAATGGGCGTATTCTTTCAGAGTTTCCCTCGGTTCCAGGGTATTCTAGAAGGCCCGCTAGTTAACTGGCTCGAGACAGAGGATCTATGCGACGAAGCAATTCATGCCGTTTTATTGTTTTTAACGTTGAAATGACAAGTGCAACAGGTGAAGATGAAGTTGTTGCGGAATTGTTGTGAGTACCCTTTTCAAGACGATAATTCAGTGAAAAGACGGACATTATAATGCCGGGGGGGGGTGGCGGCGGCGGGGGGTGTGAGTGTCTACAGAAGGTCCAGTTGTGATAGACACGGTTCACCACTGGGGTACTGTGATGTGTGGATACCCAGAGGCCACACCCTCTGCCAGCATTTCAGGTAGGTAGGGCACTGAAGAACGATGCTGTTCCTACTTTGTTTGGACCAGCGGGAGATTCGGATACACAACCTGTAAGTATTCATTGTTGTTTGTGTATTTATGATGTTTAAAACAAACAAGGTATCTACCACGACTGTTTACATGGGTAAACGTTTTTCGGGCTGCTAAGCCATTGACACAGTGCTAACTGCTAAGTTGCTAGCGTTTCCATATATCAACTCCAATGTCAGCAGATGGCCTTACATGTATCTCATAGCAGGAGAATGTCTGCATTCACACACAAAATACTCATAGACAGTATACTCCGGGTGATTTACCGTACGGTCAGTCGCGAAACTTAATTACATTATAGTTGGCCTTCCTAGCGTGTATGCTACCGAGCTAAAAAAGAAGGCTACCAAGAGCTAGACATGAGTTTGCTAGGGAAAACATTGTTTTTATGCCAGCTACAATGAATGACAGAATGTGGCAGACTACCCGTATAAGATTGCAATTGTAAACATGTTATTGCTAGCCTATTATGAACGACTAGCTGTTGTTCATAGTAGGGATGGGAACGATTAATCGAATATTCGAAATTATTCAGGTATTCAAATAATTATTCATGCATTCGAATATGAGTTATGAATATTTGTATTATTTTTTTTTTTTTTATTTTTTTGAGAGGGATACCTAAGTTGATTACATATTATCAAATTGAATAATTCAATGTGTATATATATACGACAGTGCCATAGCTAAATGTGTTAGTTGACGTCTAAAGGTGTGTTTTGCTCCGCTCACCGGTCCCTCACAGCGGGCAGAGCTGCAGGTGCTGATCTCTCTCTCTCTCGCGTCCGGTTATACTTCACTCGTGTTTATGTCCAAATCCATCAGATCTAGCTAGTTCTAGCCAATGATATGGCTGCTGCCCCTCCCTACACGCAGATCACGCAGAATCAAACCTCATCTTAGGCCCAAATGTGGCGCTCCGCAGCCGTTGCGAGGTTCCGGTGTTGCCGTTTAACTGGTTACACCGGGGAACTTGTTACGTTACGTTAACGTTAGGAATGGGGCGTGTACTTTGAGGAGCCATTATCGAATAACCAGGAAATACACATTTCGATCGCTTCTTTTGTTGTTTACATTTATCTTTTGGTATATTTGGCTCCATAGGAACACTTTGATGCACATTC